CAAATTGACGCATTTTGACGTGCGCGCGATCTTTTTTTAACGCGTGAGAATATAAAAATTCGTAAATAAATGGTTTTGTTTTTATTACCCTCTGAAAACTTTTTTAAATATTTTTTTTATCCTACTAGCTATTTTCATTTGACTTTTTAACTTTTTTGCCTCTTAAGTGCCATTTACCATAAAATTTCGCCAAATACACACTTCCTATACAAAAAATAATTATTAAGGATATCTTGTTTGCTTGGAAATGTATTGGATTGTAGTGCTGCTTAGAAACAATACTTGATTTAACTTAAACAACTTATTTCGTGCATTTGATAAACCAATGGTGTTTACTGTTTTTGGTGTTGAGCGAAGGTGGATAATAGATTGACCGGAAGAGGGAACGATGCACTCATAAACTAACCAAGATCATTCGAATTAAGTCGCTGGATTTTTTTCTCAAATCAAAAGTATATGCTTTTTAAATGCTTGCGAATAACTGGAAATAATTTTCAATGCTGCATAAGTCCGACACTATGCTCAATATACAGTTTAATTTTTCGGTTACCGCTCAACATTTTGAACATAATGAAAATAATCAAATCAGTTCAATTATTCAGAATTAATACTTTTTATGTTCCGTTCTGCAAAATTAAGAATCTGAATTGCAAGGTATCGTAAATTATTATTTGTACATAAACTGTAGGTTTCGCGAAAATTTTTCATGAAGTAAAGGAGTTTTAATAGAAAATCAGCTGGTATCACTAAAATATTTTAATTATCTCATCAAGATCATGCTTACTTCAAATCACGTCAATTTATGTAGCAAAACTTCGATTCTAAAATTGGTGAACATCCATTTAGACGCTTAGAAATTATTTGGAAAAAAAAAATTAAATTTGAGAACTTTGACGTCCTGTAGCGGCAAAAAGAAGCAACATTGGACATAGGAAAGTTTGCCAACATCCTCTTATTTTCAGTAAGAAATTTTTGGTTAACCGACGAACAGTCATTTCAAGGACATTCTGTATAGGTAACTCAATAAACATACAGTGCAATCGACTATCTAATATTTTAGGAAAACTATATTCGTGAATGAAAAATTACAAAGAACAAGCAGCAGTTCATTTTCTGATTCGATAAAAGATGGTAAGAATAACTTCCGATACGATAGTTTATAGTCAGCTTGGAGACAATAATATTGTCGTATGTATATCGTGTGATTCAAAATTGGCGTCATTCCTCTGGAAGTGTTGTCTGGCGGTGTTTTAGAAGTACATAATAAATTGTAAAAAAAAATCATTTTTACTAAAACTTGAGAAATTTGCAAAAAACTATATTAGAAAATCGCAACAATGTTTTTCAAGTTTCTGAGCATCTATTGTCGTCCACTATCTTCCTGGAACCACTCTCCTCGCCCTTTGTTGGCGTGAGTTCATTCAGCTTCTGCTATGTTACTGCAGCATTTCCCCTGAACTAATCGCAGATCCGCAAATTCGTGCAAAGAAATTCAAAGTCACAGCTTGACAAATCACTGTTATTATTGACCAGGGCTATCCACCTGTAATTATCAGTTAATGACAATAAACACCATTGCCGCTTTGACTTTTCATCAGAAAATTGTAGAAGAGAACTTTAAATACAGAAAGAAAATAATGCTTGCTAACGCTACAAAGTAGAAATTCGATTTTCAACTGTTAATATCTTCTAGAAATTATCGAAAAAAAACTTTCAATATTGTTCTCGTACTTTCCAAGTGAGCCCCTATTATCCTGTATAACATCGTTATATCGAATATTGAATCACCCTGTATGAAGTCGCTTCTTTGTTCAGCCAATACCCATATAAAATACTAACTTGCCGTTGACATTTTATATGACGTTAACTTAGATAGCTACATATAATACCCAGATAATTATAATTTTCTCATCAACCTTGCCGCTCCATCTGCGTCTGTACTTTAATGAAACCAGGCGCTTTTGCCCGACAAAATTATACCCATTGTCATATGTACCATATTTAATTAGTCTCAATTAGTTCACAGGGCATTAGGGGTTTTGAATGAGTCAGAATAAGCAGATCATGTTCACGTTATTTCCGGCATAATAATTATTTTGGAAGAGCATTAAATTTCCAAAAATGATTTCGGTCTTCGGGAAACCCTTATACACGTCAAACTATTATATTACATAAAATATAGCTTGACAGGAAAATAATCTACGTTACTTGTTCTCACTGAAGAGTTAGGCTCTATAATGGTCACTTCACGAAAAACAAGTTTAGGTCATAGATACACGCTTTTATTGGCCCCATATTTTAAGTTTACTTGTTCATTTTCGAACATTTTTAAACGACTAATACTGTTAAACCTAAGTGATATTTTTGCAAGAAAAGCTTGGTGGACTTGTTTTAAGAAACAAGAAAGAGCCTTAGATTCCATGTTTAAACTGCTTTCATATTTACTGGAACTGCACAGCGAAATTAAGATTTGCACTGGTTTTGCTTATCAATACGACAACGTTAGCTGGGTCAACACTATTCATCAATCAAAATTTTCGTGTCTCAATCAGGCACCCCCTAGATTACGACAGAACTCGCTTATTCGTTTTAACTGGATTTTCCCACCGGCATCATTACCAAAAACTTCTGGCGCTGATACCTTTTCCTATAAACCTGGAGCAGTTAAATAAAAATGCGATGAGCTCGTAAAGATTAAACGAGCAGCAGCCTTCAGCAGTCTTTTAGTCGACATCAACAAGTTCTAATAAGATTGAAATTCAGATAGGTATATCTCAGAGATTTGTATTACCCTAAGCCTTTGCTAATCATAAGATAATTTAATTTATGGAATGAGTTATGGTAATGTGACGAACTGATTGCATTGTTGGGGGTAATTTTCTCGGGGTTGTTAATACTGAAATTGACTCTGTTTTGTTTAAATAATTATAAAAGGTTGAGAAGAATACAAATTGGTGAAGCCCCAGCATGAGTCAAAGTACAAATAACACATGCTTCAAATAAATGTTATATTTACCATTGGAAAACGTTACTCAACTTTCAAGCCTAGATGCCGGCTGGCTATATTAGATTTCATTACCGTTATTACATTCCCCTATATTTTTTCAATGACATCGCAAAATCCCTTCTTTAACATCTCATCCTCAAGTTTGTTAACAATGCCACATTCCCAGTTACATTATTGGTTATATTGTTTTCTTGCCAGGGTTCATCAGATAGGTTCGAAATGCAGAAGTGCTCCCATCGCTTGAGCGAATACTACCTGAGTGAAATATTTTAATTATCGTAGCTTGAGAAAATTCAACATAAAATGACTGTTGAAACAGCAAAGATAAGTCAAAAAACGAACGCAAAATTGTTGTCGAGAAATTAAAGTAGGGGTTATTAGACAAAATATGTTTGCTAAGTTGTGCGATTATTTGCGGAAATTTGTTCCTAAACTCAGTGAAACCGAACACTACACGTAACGAGCCGCAGTCAATTTACAAGGTTACACGTGTAAATTAACTTTAATTCACTTTTTTCAAATTTAGGAAACCCTATGTAAAATGATTCAGACTCTGCGTTGTTCTATTTAGATATACTTGTAGATATCGTGGGCGTAAAGTTGAAAGTTAAAAGTCTGAAATTGCCGAATTTGTGTTTGGTTGTCCGAGTGGTTTCAAAATCACATATTTGTCTTCGGAAACGGACAAAGTCTCCCAATGCCACACAAACAAGTGCACTAAATTTTAGTGCACATTTTAGTGACTAAAATATGATTTTAATGTGAGAATTTCCAAAAATATTCTCATATACTTTTCGGCTCGGTTTAAAGGTGCATTTCCCAAAATTGTATATTTTAGACTAAATGCGTTTTAGCTTTAAGCAAACTATATATCCAGCATTAAACGTTTCAGAAATAAGCAATATTTGGCAAAATTTTTCGTTTTGTGAAGTATGTGGAATCTTATCATGTGGCATGGGTTAAAACAGCCTTAGTGGGTATCCGACAGTCTTTAATTATTTGACTTAGAGAAAATAGTTAATTACACAAAAAGTATACTGTAGGTTTACAAATTGTAGGTTTAGTTCGAACTAGTTTCAAACTATCAACAAAAAGACTAATGCTATAGCTGCTTATACGCCGTTTAAAATTATTCGCATTAAAAAAATATTTTCTGGCGTATGACTCGATCTTTCAACCGTCGTCAGACAAAATCTTTGCTCGGTGTGACTTTGATGAAA